ACAACCTAGGATAAGGACCCCTAATACCTCCCCAGTCGACCTCTCCTCTGTGCTTCAGACCCAAACATCTAACTGCTCACTTGATGTGGTACCTGAAAGTCGCACACGCACCCCGAATTCAACTTGTCCAAAATAACTTCTCAGCCTGACTTCCCCATAAAAGTCAAAGAACATTTCAGAAAAAGTCTGGATACTTAATGCCACAGATATACACTTAAAATTTACGACATTTTATATTTTGTCATGTATATTGAACCACAATGAAAAACATTTTTTTATCTAGTCCTCCCCCATTAGTACCTAAGTCAGTAAACAGCACGACTTTCCAGAGATAGTGACAGAAATCGGTGACTCATCCCTGTCCCCACCCTTTCTCTCAGCCCACTGTACCCAATCGATCACCAAGACTTAGAGATTCTTAATCATCTCACACCTGTTTGTCCCCAGCACAGTCCCTTATGCCCACGCTGGCCCCTCCTACTCCGGTTCCACAGGACAACCAGAGTGAGCTTCATACAATGGAAGTCAAATCTAGCACTGCCCCCTTACAGCCCTCTGAACGCTTCTCGCTGCTGGAAGGCCACAGCACAAAATCTGTCACCTAGTCTGCAAGGACCTGCCAAACCTGGCCCCACCAACCTTGCCGGCCCCTCTCGGAGATCCTCCGGTCCTCTGTCCTTTCTCCACCTGACTCCTTCACCACCTGCCTCCAGCCCTCGCTGGGCAAGCTCCCTTCCTCTGCCACTTAACTGATTTTTGCCTCCCCTGTAGGTCTGAGCTCTGAAGTCACATCCTCTAGGAAGCCCACCTTGAGCTCTTACTCCATGGTTTCTCGACCTTGGCATTACTGACATTGTGGACCCAATAATTAATTGTTTGATGGCAGAAAAGGAGCTGTCCTGTGCACTGTACGATGTTTAGCAGCATCCCTGGCCCTAGATGCCGTAACACCCTCTGCCAAACCAGCCCCTGCAAAAACCAAAAAAATCTCCAGACAGTGACAAACATTCCCTGAGGTGCAATATCGTTCCCTGCTGAGAACCACTGCCCCAGACCAGCAAAAGCCATCTCGCAGTATCCTGAACAGTTCTTCCACTGCATTTAGCAGAACTGTAATCAGTTCTGGTGTCATTATTGTTTAATATCATCTCCCTTCTAGACTGTAAGCGCCACAAGGGCACAGACAGACTGTCTTGTTCCTGCAGTATCCCAATGCTTGACACAGTAGGTACCCCACATTACTCTTTGAATAAGTAACAGACTTTGGGTAGTTTTTCCTTTTAATATTACTGTAAAATTAACATTTTCTAGTAGTTCAAATCAGCACCTACACGGAATCAGGTTTCTTTGGGAAATTGCTCAGTGACTGAAACTTTGAAATCATGGTAGCAAGAGAGACCTCAATCAATGAGTCTGAGGACACCCCTGACACTCACCGCAACTTTTCCTTTATCATGGGAAAGGTGAGATTAACCTATGGGGACTCCAGTATATTGTTCTCAAGCAAGAATCTATGGAATGCCAAAGATGGATTACACGTAGTGCTACAAGAGGAAAAACATATAACATTTGCAAATTCCCCAGAAGGAGTACCTCTATGCCTAGGAATCATGCTTGCTTGCTTTATAATGTGTCTAATAAAAAGCAAAAAACCTGGTTCCAAATAAGGCCAATTATTAGGACTTGCTCGAGTACTGGGCCCACAATGTTTGCCTCTGAAGAGGTTAACAGAAGGGTCAGAACATCTCTTCCCCAACCCGCATCATGTGGAGCAGAGGCTCTTTATCCCTCTCCACCCCATCCCAGGCTTGCCTGTGGCCTGCAGGCAAACTCCCCTGGGTCAAGTCCATGACCAAGGAGGCCGTGCCAACTTGGGGGTCCTAGGCAACAAACGATCCATCCAGAAGACTGAAATCTGTGCCAGTAATGTCTGCATGCTGCTTACGAAATAAAAAAGAGGGTCTTAAAAACTCAAAAAACAAAAACAACCTGGAATTAAATCTGATGCTTGGTGTCCTAAAATTTCTGACTCACTGCAATGAAAGGAATCTGAGAAAGATCTGGCTCAGAATGAAAAATCATCCCTAATTTTGGCAGGTGGTAAGAAATACAATCTCGGCTTATATAGAGAAGAGACAGGGATGCAAAAAAATGGAAGCTAATACCTATTATTTTACCAATACCATTGGTTCAAATAAGCTTCTTCTATCAATTAGGATTAGGCTGGGCTGCATACAGTCTCATGCAATATGTTTGGAAACGGGCGATCCAGGGCCGGCCTGGCACTCCGTAGCCACCCGGCAACCAGGCTTCTTCTGTCATTCTGCTCCACCATCCTTACTACTGACTTCTATCTTCAAGGTCACCTCATGTCACAAGATGGCCACCATGGCTCCAGCCATCAGAGCCACATAAGAGGCAACGAGAAGGAGGATGAAACAAGGCAAAAAGGCCGGCATCCCAGCTGGGCCAGCCACCTTGGATGAGCTTTGCCAGGAGCCCCACCCAATAATTTCACTGTCTATCCCTATTTGCAAAAGCTACTGAGAAATGTTTCCCATTGCCACCACCAGCCACCACTCCTCCACCTTTCCCCTGAACCCTGGTTATATGAGTTTTATTAAGAAAAGAAGGGACAAAAGGCTAGTGGGTAGGCAGTTAGCAGTCTCTGCTACAATGGAATCAATATGTTAAAACTTTAAGAGACAGCGAAGTCCTAGTATTTTATCTAGCTAGTCCATGCCTCCCATTCATACAAGAAAACTGACACTCGAAGCCACTAAAAGCTACACAGCTAATAAGTGGTGACCTAGAGGTTTGAATAAATCTTCTTATTCTGAACTGGTGCCAGGCGTTAGAACTGAACTTGCAGTGAATTTTGTCTGTATATGCATATAAGTTTAAAATAAATTTTCTATAAAGACTTTTCTCTAAAAATGTAAATAAATATGATCCAGTTTGTAGGGAAACTAAAGTATACAGAGTCAGACCAATCTCACGTAGGAATATTTAGGGTATTTATAAACATCAGGATTTGTTCACGTGCTTCTGCTATCCTGCCATATTCTGTTTCAGCAAGATTGGGAGAGGATCACTAGTGGGGACCACATCTCTATACATGCCGGTGCCCTTCCCCTATCATCAAATCAGAGCTCAGTAAAAGCTACTCATGATTTACTTCAGACCTAGAGGAACACAGCCTCCTGTCTGTACCAAACCACGAAAGCCAGTTCACAAAGCCCAAATGTCTCACAGGGACCTTTTAATGCGTTTTATGTCTTATGTATTGTGCTTATCTGACAACTTCACAAGGCTAACAGACATCTCTAAAAATGTGTTGACATTTTAGTTCATTCTGAATGTCCTTCAGAGTATGTATTATCAAATTTGGACAGTGCAAATATTCCCTTAAGGGTTGTAAAAAATAGATGCATATGGCAATACAAATGTGCATGCATTTCAGCCTATATATTCAACATATTATATACAAATATTATACCCCCAATACAGGATTAGAAAGTGCAATGCTATAAATAGAATGCCAATTTCAGTTACCACCCGCCCATTTGGTTAGTTGCAAAACTTCCAGGCAAGCAGCCAACTGATGCAGCCAGGAGTCACCTAGTCAATTTCCCAAACCTCCAGCCTCCGGTTTACCCAGCCCTGATACCCAGCAACGCCTGTTTCTTCCACTAAAGCAGATCACCAGCCAAATTCAGCTGCTCCCCATCATCAGGCATAGCCTTCTTTGCCCCAGGTGCCCTAATACTTTTTTTTAATGACACTGTTGCCTAATTAATCATGCATGTGAACAATTAATTACCAACTAATCTCACTCGATTTTCCCACACTTACTGAGTGCCTATAGTTGGAAATACCATGGGTACACAGAAGCAGCGAGCAATATCCTTATCTGACGAGCTTAAATTCAAATAAAAACCGGCTGTCAAAGTTCCGGTGGGCTAACAAAAGCTGTGCGCAGTAACGCCACGTCTTTTCCTAAACCGCACCATTCTGCCATCTCTAAAAATCTGAAATTACTGCCTTTTCACAGACCGGAAACACAAGTAAGTCTGGGTTTGAGAACAACATAATAGTCTGAAAAGGGAATAATTTTTCGCCCAAGCATTCAAACTTGAACAAATCTCATCATGAAAGTCAATCACAAGGATTTGGTTTTTTTTTTTTACTTTTATCACATCGTTTTATGACAAAGGGTGCAATGCCCTGGTGAGGAGAACGGAGGGAAAACAGGAACGGGCACTAAGGCAGCAGGAGCCCCGCAAGCACTGTTCCCAGACGTGTCCTGCTGTCCCCAGCGAAGACTCAGGACTTGAGAAAGCGTCCCCAGGCGTCGCCCGCGCCACGCCCGCTCACACTGAGGCCCCGCGGGCACCCCGGGTCGGAATCCCGGAAGGGCTGGTGCCAAGCTGGCCGCTTACCTTCGGGGGCCAGGCGTGTCCGGAAGGCCCCGCACAGGGCGCGCGACAGCGGGGCGCCGCCTCTCGCCCCCGGGCCGGGACGTAGGAGCGGGCCGAGCGGGCGGGGGCCGGGGCCCGGCGGCCAGCGCAGGCCGGCAGGACGCGGGCGGAAGGCAGGGGGGCGGGACCGCCGTCCTCTCACAAAGTTTCTCGCAGTTGCACAGTTGCTCCGCGCTTCCTGTGGGGGTGGGCGCTGCGCCCTCGCGCTCCGCCGCCCGGCCCCGGCCCGGCCCCGGCGGAAGGAGGGGAGACCGAGTCGGCGGCCGGGCGGGACGGCGAGGACCCGGAGAGCGAGAGGGGCCGGCGGGCGCGCCCCGGGTCCCGGCGCCGGGTCCCACCTGGGCGCCGCGAGAGGGCGCTGCTGCCGGCGCGTGGCGGCGGGGACCGGACGGCGGGACGCGGGCGCCGGCGGAGGGCTGGGCCGCCCGGAGCCTCCTTCCCCGCTCCGACGCGGACGCCGGCGGCTGCGCCCACGAAGCCCACGCCGCGCCCGTGCGCGCCCGGCCGCCCGCTACTTACCCAGGGAGCAGGTGAGGAGCGCGAGCAGCGCCGGCGGCGCCAGGCGGCTTCCGCGGCGGGCGGCTGGCCGCATCCCGGCGGTGGAGGATGCGCGCCCCACCTGGGCGCGGGGACCGGAGACGCGCGGGGAGCGGAGCTGCGCCGCTGCTGCCGCCGCCCTGCCGCCGCGGCTGACCCTTCTCCGCGGCTCCCCCTCCCCCGCGGGCTCCGCCGCGCCATCTCGGGCCGCGCCCTCTGGCGGCCGCGAGCGGGAGCGCCCCTGTGCGCGCTTCCAGCGCCTGCCGGGCTCGCGGCGGGGGCTGGGGTCCGGCCCGACGGGTGCGAGTGGTGGTGGCCGCTGCTCTGCCGGGGCAGCGCCCCACTTCCAGGCGTCTGACCTCTGCTCCCTATGGCCCCCAGTCTCCACCCCTCTTTCCCTCCCTCCTGACCCAGGCCCCATCCTCTACCTTCATGCCTGTCACATTACTCCGTGCCCCGCTTGCTGGATCTCCAGCCTCAGGTCAGTAGTTCCCTCTTACTACGCCCAAAGTCAAGGGAGAGTGGTCACTTTTCCTCCCTGCTAATGTACCATCTGCTGTAAAAAAAAAATATACATATATATATATATCAATAATTCAACTCTTAATATTGTTGGCACCAATGTTCTACTTTGATGAAGGTGTTTTTAATCAGCTCAGCTAATTTACTTAGTATCCCCTTTAAATGAAATTTGGCCAACAGCCTAGGCCTGGAATTTGGCTTTTAATAGAAGTTTGTGTAAATGTAATTTTAAGTGTTTACCATAATGGAAGAGGGAGGGTGCAATTTTATTCAAAACATGTGATAAAAATTAATTAAATTGAAATACAGAGACATGGGGAAGTTTCATCGGGAGGGACCTTCCTGCCCCCACAGGACTGTCCAGGGGCTGCCTCCCCAGCCAGGCAGAGTAATGGCCCCGATAGGGAACTGGCCCTGTCATACCTTGGTAGACTGAAGAGGGAAACAATTACAAATGCAGAACTAGAAACCCCCTGATGGTTCCGTACTCCCTTGTGCCTCCCCCAAGCTTTGACTTATTTCTGTCTCCAACGAAGTGGACAGGACCAAGTGCTCCTTCCCGGCCTGAGTATAGACTGTGACCTGAAGGCAGTGTCCATGTTTTCATTCATATTTAGTCATATTTTTTGGATGCCTACTATGTGCCTACAATTTTGCTTAGTACCCTAGGAATGCCAGTATCTTCCACTTGGACATGCAACATTCACCTACTTGTTAAACGTTTAATAGGGACCATTACCATGCCCCAGGAGTACAAGTAGGATGTGGGGAGATAGAGTAGTGAAAGCTGAATAAATGTTGGCTTGAGCCGTATAAACTTGAATACCTTTGAGGGGGCTTTGCTTCGAGCGCATTAGGACAGTATTGTCGTTTGTTCATGCAGTAAGTGCTGCAGTATTTTTTATAGAAAGTCTGGAGACAATGGCTTTTCTCTCTCTGTGGTTTATGTTGACTTCTTAAAACTGAGAACTAAATATTTCATATGTTATCCATTTAGTGCAAATGTAAATAGTACCATTTTGTTCCATTCACCTAAAGTTTGTCATCTCATATCAATACCATTTTGATGGGACAAAAAAGAAACATAGAAATCCTTCCATTTCATTTTTTTTTTTTTTTTGGTCAAGCTTTTCTAATTTATGCTTGACTGCATTGATCACTTTTATCCTTCTTAGGAAAATTCTAAAACCTACCTGCTTAGTTGAGAGTTCTAGATTGTTTCTAATTTCCAAAGCTGTTTAGCTTTCTTCTAAGAAGATATTCCTTGCATATGTTAATATTAAACATTTCACCAAGATGTGTTTAATAAAACTAATAATTAAGCAACAATTGGTGTTTAATCAATGTTTTCATCAAAATTCATCATGTTAGAATTTTACTGTGTTCCAGAATGAGGTGTGGAAATTTGAGCCCTAAACACAATGGCAAGCACACAGTTTTAGTAATAAACTTGCCCTGGCATTCTTCTCTCCACAGTAGACATAGATAAACGGCACATTACAAAGCTCCATAACTCACATTTTAAAAAGGATTGCCTTTCACTTCCTCTAGTCGTATGATAAATGGACTTGCTGGGAGTTCTCTCTCCCAATCAGAAGTTGAGAGCATTTCCTAGAGCAAACACACTCCCACTAAGGACACTAAAGGTATCTGAAAAGGCAATGCTTGCCCCTGTAACACCAAGTGTAAGGGGACAACTTTCAGTAGAAAAAAATAAATCTCATGAACTCTAAGATAGTGATGAGAAAAAGAGCAGGCCATGGCTTCACTCACCTTAATCCCAGCTGTGACCCCCCATGCCGGCACCTGGAACTTTCGTTGTTGAGGGGCAGGGGGAAAAGCTAGAAGCCACCACTTTTTGGGGGGACCTTTTCGCAACCTGATTAAAACAGGCTGGTAATTTTTGAAAGAATTTTCTAAATACTAAAAGAACATAAAGACATTCACAAAACTATAGATAACCAAATAATCTAATGAACAAGTTCCAAACAGATGGTCTCTGATCTTGTAACAACTATAGGCCCAAAAGGCTGAACCCCCAATCCCTCATTCAGCTGATGGGGAACTCCTTTTAGCTGATGTACTCTTTGCTTGGCTCTGGAAAAGGTATTTTAAAAAGCATAAAACAAGGCCAGGCGCGGTGGCTCACGTCTGTAATCCTAGCACTCTGGGAGGCCGAAGCGGGTGGATCGCTCAAGGTCAGGAGTTCTAGACCAGCCTGAGCAAGA